TACTGGCCAGTATCAGGCAGAAATTTGGCTAAGGCTGTCGTTAGAAAATGCTTAAGATGCTTCCGCTTCAACCCACAAGAGATAAGGCCTATAATGGGAGATTTACCACAAAATCGATTGGTAGCTGGTCAAACTTTTGAAATTGTAGGAGTTGATTACATGGGGCCACTTTTCTATAGGGACAAAAAAGGGCGTAACTCAAGGTTGTTGAAATGTTATGTAAGTGTTTTTGTTTGTTTTGCCTCAAAGGCGTTGCATCTCGAGGTAGTGACAGATCTGAGTGGTGAAGCCTTTATCTTAGCGCTAAGGAGATTCGTGTCTAGGCGTGGTAAACCTAGCCACATTTACAGTGATAATGGTTCCAATTTTGTCAGGGCAAACAGGGAACTGAAGGAACTAGGTCAATATTTATTAAATGAACAAAGGTGCCTTGAGGATTTGTACCTCAAAGAGCAAATACAATGGCATTTTATTCCGGTTAGTTCACCTCATTTCGGAGGTCTGTGGGAAGCAGGCGTGAAATCAGCAAAACATCACTTAAAGAGAGTTTCTGGTAACGCGCATTTTACATTTGAAGAGTTAACTACTCTAATGACGCAAATCGAATCTATTTTAAATTCCCGCCCAATAACACCACTTTCAACCGATCCCAATGACTACACTCCCTTAACTCCTGCCCACTTTCTGATTGGTAAAAGCCTGATTGGACTTCCAGATCCCAATGTGACGCAAATACCCGAAAACAGACTGTCTACTTATCAACGTATACAAAAGGTCAAACAAAATTTCTGGGAACGTTGGAATAAAGAGTATATTAGTGAACTTCAGCAACGTGTCAAATGGAAGCAGACACAATCTGACATTAAAATGGGTAGTTTGGTGCTGATCAAGGAGGACAATACACCGCCTATGAACTGGAGAATGGGTAGAATTGTGTCAGTGTTTCCAGGGAAAGACAATGTTAATCGCGTAGCTAACATCAGAACGGTAAATGGTGTAATCAAGCGCGGGTTTTCAAAAATTTGCCCTCTTCCGATTGACTAATTATTACTGTTTCTTTGTTGAAGCTAAATAAGTGCAGTGCTTCAAGGCGGGGGGCATGTTGTGTAAACTAAGACTCAAAAGGACATAATTTCAATAACAACAGCTTGTGCGCCGTTTCAAATTCAAATAGACAATATTACGCGCGGAACGCGACCTTCTTTCTTGCAGCCAATCAAAAAGGCAGCAGTATTCGCTAACGATTATTGCCGAGAGACGTCGCACCGGTAGCCAAGGACAAGACGATCGGAGCGGCCGATTATGACAGGAGAAGAACGAACGGCAAGACAAGCTTCGAGCGCCGCCATTATTATTATTCTTCGCATTTTTTCTGTTTTTACCTATTTTTTTTTGTAGAGATCGCGAGTAAATTACCCAATTACTATTATCAATGTTCATTAAAAGTTAAAGTAAATTGAGTTAGTGCGTTTTTTACTTGCAAGAAACCCCCAAACAAGAAAATACAGTCCGCTAGTATCGAAGGAAAGACACCTATTCCACTTTGCGAAGCGTCGGTGTCTAACATAAATAGACCTTCATCCCTGGGATATGCCAGAACCGGAGCACTATTCAATTCATTTTTCAGCTCCACGAAAGACCGTTGATATTTAGGTATCCAATAAAAACGAGCGTTCTTTTCAGTTAGTTCATGTAAAGGCTTCACAATCTTCCCAAAATCCTTGGCAAAACGGCGGTAGTAACTGCAGAGTCCCAGGAAGCTTCTAACTTAATGTTTATTCATTGGTCTCGGCCAATCCCGCACAGCTTGAACTTTATCTGGATCTGTCTCTATTCCTTTTGATGAGACGACATGGCCGAGGAAGTTTACTTTTTCCTGGAATAGGACACACTTCTTGAGATTTAGTTGCAGATTGGCATTTCGAATCCTGGCAAAAACTTCCTTCAAATTTGACAGGTGTTCGTCGAAATCTTTGCCAATCACCATGACATAATCCAGATATACCATGCACGTTTCCCAAGTCAGTCTTCGCAAAACTCCATCAGACTTTCAAAAGTGGCAGGTGCATTGCATAATCCAAACGGCATGACGTTAAATTGATATAGGCCGTTTCCTGCAGTAAATGCGGTCTTCTCTTTATCCTCTTTATTGAGTTCCACCTGCCAATTTCCACTTTTCAAGTACAGGGTTGAAAACCACTTGGATCCTGATAGGGTGTTTAGGGTATCGTCAATCCGGGGTAATGGATAGCTACCTTTCTTCGTAACGTCATTCAACCTTCTATAATCCACGCAAAACCTGGTAGAAACATCCTTTTTCATAACTAGTACGACCGGCGATGACCATGGACTATTAAATTCTTCTATGATGTTGTCCTTAAGCATTTCCTTAAGCACGGTGTTAACTTGCTGTTGCTTTGCGAAAGGGAGTCTTCCTGGTGGTTGGCGAATGGGTGTAGCACTTTCTGTGGTGATGCGATGATCTACAAAATTAGTTTGTCCAGTAATTTTATCTTGCACAAAAACACCAGCCTCTTTCTGCACAAAGTCAATAGCTTTCTTGTTTTCTTGCTGGCCTTAGTGATTCCAGCTCTTTTCAAACTTCTCCAAAAGCTCTATTGTTAAATGTGCTTCATTTGACACAGGCTCCTTCTTTGCGCATCTGACTACTCGTACGGCTGGTGTACATCTGCCAATGACGTCACCTTCCTTCACTGTCACACGGTTTGTTGTTAGATTGGCTGCTCTCACTAGAAAAACATTGTTGAAATTCACTAACAAGTGTTCCATTCTGCATGTTTCTTGTTGGTTCCACGATCATGGTGTTCACGCCTTCTTGCTGTTTTTCTAGGTGTGCCCGCACATTCGACTCACTATTTCCAGGAATTCGTGTATCTACATCAACGATTATTCTAATTTGACAGTCCTTATTTGACGGTGATGAGAAGTCTATTTCTTCGTTGCCCACTCTCAACATTTTATTTTTAAAGTCCACTGATAGGAACTTCAAAGGTTTCTAGGATATCCACTCCCAATATAAATTCATCCACTATGTCAGCAACTATCACTTCTACCTTAAGTTCGGTGCTGCCTATTCCCAATGTCATGGTGGTCTCTCCAAAAACATTTATCAAATCTCCCTTAGCTGTTTCTAGCAGTGGTTTATTTCTCAACATCATTACAGAGTCCTTAGAAACCTTGTCGGGGCGAACCCATGATGTTGATGCTCTTGTGTCGATGGTCAAATCACATTTCTTGCCGTTGAGGGTGCCTTGGGCAACGAGACTTTCACAATTCTTCTTGATGGAGAACACCCTTACTTTGGGGGCTCGAGAATCGGTGGCTCCCTTACACTGGCGAGGTGGCGGCGCTTCTCTGATGATGTCTGGAACCACCTTCTTCCTCCGTTTCACGATCTCCTGAGCGGGAACGTCGTCTACAGTTTCTGCTAATATGCCTTTCTCGGCTGCAGTTGTAGCATTTTATCTGTTTTTTGGCTCTTGGTTCTTGGTCTAACTTCGCGCAGAATTCCTGAAACAGCGCCTCCAGTTTAAGGAACATTTTTGCGTCTGAGTTTGGGCAATCCTCTGCTATCTTCACTTCCCCGATCTTGCTTCTTCGATTTAAAGAGGCATTTTTGGCAGCTTCATATTCCAATGCATGGACAACGGTGTCAGCTAAGGTGTTATGCCTACTAATTCTCAGTGCTTGTTGCAGGTCTGTATCTTTTACTCCATCGATAAAGTACTGGACATTTATCTGTTCAATGAAGTCTTCAGGAGCTTGTGGATAGGCCAATCTCACCATTCTCTCGATGTCGCTACTAAATTCGTGCAGTGTCTCAGATGGACCTTGGGCTCTTCTTTTGAGTTGACTCTGGTAGACTTGACTGAGATACCTGTTTCCGTAATTCAGCTTTGAGGCTCCTACAAGAGCTGCATAATCACTTCGTTTTGCCTCGGGAATATTTTGAAGAATTTCAAGCGCCTTTCCTCGTAGTGCAAGTACCAATGATGTTGCTTTTTGCTGGTCATCCCATCCATTTGCACTAGCAGCGGCTTCAAACTGTCGTTTATACCTGGACTATGATGTTTCGCCGTCAAAAGTTGGTGGTTTGAGTTGGCCGTGTACGATTGGGCTCACCGATACATCCATTTTGCTGGCACTTTCGTTGATATTGGAATCTTCGCAAATTTTCTCCATTTTCTTCGCCAGTTTTCTATATTTTTTCTCGAATTCCTCTCGGATCGTCCCTATTTCGCCTTTGACTTCTTCTCGAACCGTTTCTATTTCGCCTTTGACTTCTTGTTGGATGTTCTGGCACAACCCAGCGATCCTGTCAATATCCTTCTGTCGTGTGTCTTCCTGTTCTTGCAGAATTTTCTGTAGCCGGTCTTGCTCTTGCTGTCGCTTATCCTCTTCTTCCTGTTTTTCTTTGAGTTGCCTGTCTTCTTGTTCTTGAAGGATTTTCTGTAGTCGGTTCTGTTCTAGTTGTCGCTTGTCCTCTTGTTCTTGAAGGATTTTCTGTAGTCGGTCCTGTTCTAATTGTCGCTTGTCCTCTTGTTCTTGAAGGATTTTCTGTAGTCCTGTTCTTGTTTTTCTTTTGCTCCCTTCTCGTCTGCAACTGTCAACAAAACACCTGGTTTAGCTGTTCTTCCATTCCAGCAGTCTGTTTTCTTGGATTAACAATAAATGCAAATTTCTTCACTCACTTATCCCACTTCTGACACCAATTGTTACTTTTACGGGTTCGCAGATAAATGAGACTACTTTTCCGAACTATAAAGAATTTTATTAAACACAATAACATAAAAATCACAGGAAATTTAACAGGGAGTAATCAAAAACTACGAGTGGCGGGTTTATAACAGTATTATTTTAGTAATGCAATGAAAATGGAAATCTAATCAACTGTTGGCTCTTATGGCCATTATTTATGGTTGCCTACCCAAAATCCTGACTAATTTTATTCAAACTAATTCCTTTTTTGTGTGTTTCAGGCTTATCCAGACGAATCCTACGATTTCAAACAAAAAGCCAAACTACACATGTTCAAAGAAATTGATTTATTCCTCAACGAATCCTTTGGACCTATAGCCGATGAATGGATAGACGATACTGGATTTTTCATTTAAATTTTTTTAATAAGTAGTTATTATCACGCCTATCACAAATTTATATTTATTGCAGCTCTTCCAGAATAAAAATAATAACAAATTATGTCTTTAGGTACCAAGAACACTTTGGCTTTGTCAGCCCCTTATTTTATACAATTGGTATCTGCAATTGTTGAAAGAATATTTTTGATATTAAAATATGAACCTACCAAGTAATCATAAATTTAAATAATTTTAAATTTGATGTTTACGTAATTCCATAAATGTGATATTTATTTTTATAATGTTAATAATGTAGTCTTTTCCTAGATTGTAGTTTTTTTTTTTTTAGTATTAAATGTTAAGGGGGAAAGACCACATTAGAAATTTAAGTCATAATAGTTAGTAAATTATGGTGTTTATATAATTATAATGTTAAATTTTATAAATGTGATATCATAAATCCATAAAATGCATTTTCACTTATGATGTATAGATACAAAAATCTTTTTTAAATTTCCGATTAAAAGTAGATATAGTTTAAAATTTTTGACAATTTATTTACTTTGACTGGCATATATCCTATGATAGATAAATGTAAGGAAAAAATTATTAAATAGAATCCCAAAATTTTCTAGTTTCATCACGTATTTATATATTAGTAGATTTTTTTGCATGCAACTACCCAATTATATATATGTATTAAGTTTTGAAATTTATATACTTATTTGAATTGCCTTATTCTTGAAGGATAAACTGCCAGAATTTTCAAAAGGTTGTTTAACAAAAATGCACTTTTTAATCATTTGAATTAATCGTCAACTTATGTTTATGTATAGATATTTGTTTATAATAAATGTGCCTAATTGTATAGCTTTAAAATACATAATACTCAAACATGTAAGTGCAAAAACTATCAGAAAATTCATAGAATGAATCTTTTGAAAAGTTTTTTGATTTAGATTAAATAGTGAACGAACACTAGGTGTGGATTTTGCATTGATGAAAAAATTGTCTAAGTGTCAGCAGTGTATTTTCCTATTGATCACAACATTAACTAAATTTTGGTTGGTGGAGATTTTTCTGTAGGAATTCCCTAGATATAATCCAGACAGTGCAGTTTACCTAGTTTTAGAACCTCTATCTGGTCCAGAGCATACAAAACGTTGCTGGCTCTCAGACAAAAATATTTATTCGGTATACGCTCAAAAATTTACTTGGTCAAGTACATTTCTATGAAGTACATTTCTATAGAAAATCAGAAATTTTATTTAACAAAAGTAGTATGATTTGTATTTTTTTTTTGAGGGAAAATATATCTAGAAATCCATATAAATATTATACATATTTACAAAACAATTTGTTGTTAAATATTAATATATACCTACCTAAAATAATATTGAAACTATATGTGTTGAATACAGATCGTTTACAAGTAAATGCATTGTTTAGAAATAAAATATAAATGGTTCATTTCTATAATTTGTCGTTTTATTTCATCGTTAATTTTGTATGAAACTCCACATGCTGATAAGTTTTGCCCCAATAATCCTGAAACACATTGAAAAAAATTATTGAAGGGTCAAAGTAAGTCAGTTGAAACATTGTAGACTTATTAAGAGGCACTTAAAAACACCTGGAATTGTCCGACAATTTTTATCTTTAAGTGCCTGATGATAATTATCCATTGTAGGTTGATAGTAGGTTCGATTTATGAGAAATCAGTCAATATTTTACACCTGCACATGGTAATGACACAGGTGGTTGATATAACAATTTCGTAAATATTTGCTCAAAATTATAAATTGGGGTGTTTTAATGTTGTGAAAGCAGCTCTAAAAAAATGAATGGTGAGTTTTACATTACGATGAATGAATTTATTGTGGAACTTTACTTATTCTAGGAATAGGATTCCTCATCCTGTTACTTCTCGTACAATTATCTTTTACATTTGAACGTAAATGCAAACTTTACAAGACATGCTATATCGACGCTAAAGGCCATGGACACAGTTGCGTGGGGGATGTTATTGACCCAGTACCATTTGACAAAACCGACCCGATTCAAGCTAAGGCTTATGAGCTGGTCAAACAATATTGTCCTAGTCTTTATGAGAATAATACTGGTAAGAATATTAATTATTAATATTGTCACGGCTCTGCTCTGGGACTCTGTGCTCTATAGAATTCTACAGCTCACTTTCTATAGCAGATATCTATTTTCAAAAGCGATAGTCGGCTGAAACGGCACTCTGTGTCACTATCGACAACAGTTCGGCTACACGTTCTCGTATCCTTTTATCATGCTACTAGCCATTCGAAAAACGTAGTACAAATCTAGAGGAAACTCTAGGGAATTTTTATTTGATTCCTAAGAAATGTCAATATTATTTATTGAATTGACTGTATACGTCATAATAAGTTTGTTTTTGTTATTATTTGGTTTGCTTGTTTATACCATAACTATTTTTGCTTCCTGAAAGTTGAGTTTAAGTTTAAAAATTAGGCTTTGTTGCCCATTAATAATTTAAATAACAATATTGTTGAAGAAGATGAGAAGCTTGAACATATTTGTCTGGGAAATATCCAGTGATGAGTGATGCCCAACCACCAACAACAGTGACTGTTTTCAAAAAGAAGATGTTAGATTTGAAGAAATAATCAGGCAAAGCTATAATATTTATAATATTACCTTGCATTTTTTGGGACTTACACCTCAATTGATATTAATACCAGAAGTTTCTTGATTTTGATACGAATTACTACAAGCTCTCTGATTAGAGCAATTTTACAACAAGCTTCGACAACGGTAGCAGATTTGGTACCGAAACGTCAGCAAAAAATCCAGAACTCATACCACCGAGCCTAATCAAGTATTATTTTATTGAAATAATAAAACTCGATTCGTTTATAAAAAGTCGATTCGAGTAATTTATTTTATAAAAATAATCTGGTAAAGGTAAAATTGCTCTAATCAGAGAGCTTGTAGTAATTCGTATCAAAATCAAGAAACTTCTGGTATTAATATCAATTGAGGTGTAAGTCCCAAAAAATGCAAGGTAATATTATAAATCCACCTCAAACATACAGACATTTGTTATAATATTTATGTGGCTACAAACTATATCAAGAGCAGAGCAAAAGAGAAAGTATCAGTAGCCATCAGGGTTCAGTTTGCTGTGACTCAAGACGAGAAAAATCTAATTGAAGCGGGATTTATGGAAAAAATCAATTTTCCAGGTGTGATTACTATCACACGGCCGATGGAACCCACAGTGAGTGAAATTATTATTAGACCACATGACGAAGAACCCTGGCTAATGACACATAGGGAAAACACTGCTCCAGGAACTCCAAATTATAGCCAAAATTACATCCAAACTCGAAATTGTATGGGTGTGTTTGAACAAAGATTTGTGTGTACTTCAAAAGTGTTGAGGCATGCCCCAGAAAAAGTTAGGCGCTTTGTCGTTTGGTTTGTGCTATTTTACATAATTGTTCGGAAGGGAGACTGAATGGTCCCCGAACCTCATATCCGAAGGGATAACATTCAGGTACCGGAGGTACCATATAATGTAACGTTATGCAAGCAGGAGTCCAAGCAAGAAACAATTTGATTTGTCGTCATTTTATGCACTGACTTTCTAAAATGTTATTATAAAGATTTTAACCATAATATGTGTTTTATTCCGGGTTTTTCGCTTCTCACTCTCTCAATGACGATAATATCAATATTATTAATATAATCGGAAACCGGCGTCTGCTCGAAATAAACTAAATAGGAATGGAATAACGTAGGTATAAATATGAAATATCAACAACAACAATTTGTCAGTGTCATTCATGAAACTTCACCATGCACATGCGTCAGTAGTATTCGACACGTCTCGAGATGTAGAAATGAAATTATAAAATAAATCGCGTTTTGTCGATATTCTTGATGCACAGAGTGCCAACCATGTAGGATCTTGTCGACTGATAGAATTCTACATGACACAGAGTCCCGCTCCTGGGTTGCCTGACAGAAATCTTAGGTTCGTTGTTCGTTTATTCCTAAATCAAAGTCTGATCAACACAGAAATAATTTTATTCCACGTAACTATACACTGACACTAATTACTAACTCAACAACTAAACTCTTTACAACTCTTAACAATAATCACTATCCAACTCATATCACTGTCAAACTTAAACTCAAACTTACAAACTAATGCCGACCTTTATATATCCCTATTCATGTACAGGGTGATCCAGTATAAAGTGAACACCCCCTACCTTTTCGCAAAAAAAAAATTTTTTGAAAAAATCAAGATAGCCATTTGGTGTATTTTGTTTCTAGGTGTTCGAGAACGTTTTTCGAAATTTAATTTGATTTTTCGTTAAAACGCTGTGACCAAAAAAGTAATTTTTTTAAATGGAATAACCTATATTTAAGTCAATTTTTTAAACGTCCCTATTTTTCTCATTTCAAATATATAGTTGGTTTATCTTTATTCTAAAAATTTGCGATATATTCTCACTTCAAAATTCATAGAAAAATAGCCGAAAAGGTATCAAGGTAAATCTAAATAATTTTACCTTTAATAAAGCTGCTGGTGATTATGTTTTATGATACCTTTTCCGCTATTTTTAGGTGAATTTTGAAGTGAGAATATATCCCAAATTTTTAGAATAAAGATAAACCAACTATATATTTAAAATGAGAAAAATAGGGACATTTGAAAAATTGACTTAAATATAGGTTATTCCATTTAAAAAAATTACATTTTTGGTCACAGCGCTTTAACGGAAAATCTAATTAAATTTCGAAAGACGTTCTCGAACACCTAGAAACAAAATACACCAAATGGCTATCTTGATTTTTTCAAAAAAAATTTTTTCAGCGAAAAGGTAGGGGGTGTTCACTTTATACTGGACCACCCTGTACAATCTAGAATATACGCGATAACTCTTCTTCTCGAAAATACCGCAAACATCCCGAATCTGAATTGGCTTCTTGACATCCTGGCGGCATTATCGTAATAGTTTTAGGTCCAAATGTGAATTTGTAAAATTTAATGAAGTAGGTATAGGTACCTGTTGCGGTCGCCTAGAAACTCTGGCGAAAGGTGATTTATTTTTGCTACTGGATGGTGACGAAAATTTATGTAAAGTCTGTTTTTTTTTTAAAGATAATTCCCCAAGTCAAAAATTTAGTAACTATGTTGGCAACACAAGCCTTTTCTACATAAAAAATTTGAAAGCTTGACAATTTTACATTGTATTGCCAACATAATGTCATTTTGACTTTTATCTTTAAAAAAAAAAAACAGATTTTAGGATCTATGTACTAGCGGAGGTGATGAGAGTGAAACAACTAGTAGATCATTTGCAAAGACCTACCCGGTATAGGTTGTCTAGTAATGGAAAAAAGATGACGTCATCTGAGGTGTTAATGGAGAATTGCATTATGTTTGGACACCCCATATAATGTCATACAATGGAGAAATCTTTGTTCATTTTCAAAGCTGGAACCTTTTTTTATTCAATGACACACGTTTATTACGTGTAAGTGACAACTACTAGGATACTTGACAGATAAGGAAAAAGGTGAAAATGTCTATTAGTCCGAGAGCCAGCGCCAAAAAAGTGCAAGAGTTTCATGAAAGCTGAAAATGTAATATAAGCTTGTATTTGTGATGCATATAACTATACTCGAGTCAGCAAGTGAGGTAGCGGGACAAGCTACGCCCACGCACCTTTGAATGTGTAAAAAATTAATCGCGATGAAAGAGTTTCATGACAGCTGAAAATCTCTCAATCCATTGTTTATTTGATAAAAAACATGACGGACATGGTCAGATGGCATTATGTTAGGACAACTAGAGTCAGCATTCCTATATACAGGGTGTCCCACGGTGGATGGCGTATTAGACGTTTATGGAGAACTAAAAAGCGGATCATTTTGAAAATTTGGCAACCGGGATAAACGATCATGATCTACACTTTAAAAATATTTTTGACCATGCGGTGTTGCCGCTTCTACTCTAAACTAGTGGCAACATCACTATTTTAAATGGAACACCCCGTATTAAATTGCATATTTGGATTCTACGTAAAATTCTGAGCAGATTTCATGTGATATACCCTATACCTAAGTTCAACTGTTTTGGAAATATTGACAGTTGAAAATTGACTTTTTGCAACTTTGACAGGCTGTAGAACCGGAACGGTTAATTTTAGAGGAAAACCGATTTTACATTCCTATCTTAGATTTTTATAAACTATCATTTGACACCATCTTTGAATTAAATCCATGATTAAAAATTTCAGTTAAATTTAATCTCCGGTTAAGTTCAAAGTTGGTGTCAAATGATAGTTTATCAAAATCTAAGATAGGAATGTGAAATCGGTTTTCCTCTAAAATTAACCAATTAGGTTTCACAGTCTGTCAAAGTTGCAAAAAGTCAATTTTCAACTGTCAATATTTCCAAAACAGTTGAACTTAGGTATAGGGTATATCACATGAAATCTGCTCAGAATTTTACGTAGAATCCAAATATGCAATTTAATACGGGGTGTTCCATTTAAAATAGTGATGTTGCCACTAGTTTAGAGTAGAAGCGGCAACACCGCATGGTCAAAGATATTTTTAAAGTGTAGATCATGGTCGTTTATCCCGGTTGCCAAATTTTCAAAATGATCCGCTTTTTAGTTCTCCATAAACGTCTAATACGCCATCCACCGTGGGATACCCTGTATAGGCATGCTGACTCTAGTTGTCCTAACATAATGCTATCTGACCATGTCCGTCATGTTTTTTATCAAATAAACAATGGATTGAGAGATTTTCAGCTGTCATGAAACTCTTTCATCGCGATTAATTTTTTACACATTCAAAGGTGCGTGGGCGTAGCTTGTCCCGCTACCTCACTTGCTGACTCGAGTATAGTTATATACATCACAATTACAAGCTTATATTAAATTTTCAGCTTTCATGAAACTCTTGCACTTTTTTGGCGCTGGCTCTCCGACTATATACGGAGTCTACCAATTTCTACATGGGTTCAGTGGCGGCTCGTGGTTTCCAAGTAAGGGTGGGCGACAAAAATAAAAAATAGCCGTCGGCAATTTTTTTTTTAGATTT